GTACAGTGAGGAGCTATCTCACCCTGATTATATACTTGTAACTATGCTTAGGTACATCCTAAGTATGAAAACAGTATGGTAAGGATTTTAAGTATGCATCAGTATTCTCTTAGAGAGGTGTTTTAATAATGGATAACACCCTCAGCCTAATGATTTTGGGGAGGTTCTATTGTAAAATAGTGTAATGCCACATTAAAACTAATATTTTAGGCCAGGCATGGAGGCTTACGCCTGTAATCCTCGCACTCTGGGAGGCTGAGGCAGGAGGATTGCTTGAGCTCAGGAGTTTGAGACCATCCTGAGCAAACGCCAGACCCTGTCTCTACTAAAAATAGATTAATTAGCTGGGCGTCCTGGCATGTGCCTATACTCCCAGCTACTCGGGAGGCTGAGGCAAGAGGGTCACTTGAATCCATGAGTTTGAGGTTGCAATGAGCTATGATGATGCCACTGCACTCCACCCAGGGTGACAGAGTGAGACTCTGTCTAAAAAAAACAAAAAACAAAAAAAACATTAATAAGTTGCTCTCTGTTTACTATTTTCTTCTAAAGGAGTATGTGTTGAGAGGAAGGCTGATAGGAGTATAATGGAGATATTTAGCATTCTTTTTTTTCTTTTTAATTGATACATAATTGTATGTCTTTATGGGGTACAGTGTGATGTTTTGATACACGTATATGTTGTGTAATAATCAAATCAGGATATTTAGTATATCCTTCACCTCATACATTTATCATTTCTTTGCAGTGAGAATATTCAAAATTCTTTCTTTAACTACTTTGAAGTATATATTAAATAGTACAGTATTGTTAACCATAGTCACACTACTGTACTATAGAACTGCAGTCCCCAACTCCCGGACCTCGGATCGGTGTTGGTCCATGGCCTGTTAGGAACTGGGCCGTACAGCAGGAGGTGAGCGATAGGCGAGTGAGCGAAGCTTCATCTGTATTTACAGCCGCTCGCCATTGCTCGCATCACTGCCTGTGCTCCGCCTCTTGTTAGATCAGTGGCAGCATTAGATTCTGCCTTATGGTGAGTTCTAGAATTATTTCATTATATGTTACAATGTAATAATAATAGAAATAAAGTACACAATAAATATAATGCACTTGACTATCTCAGAGTCTGGAGGCAAATTATGGATTTCAGGTTCTGGAGGCACAGGTCTGAGTTTCAAGTTTCAAATCAAGGTGTTAAGAGTGCCTTGTTGCCTCTCAGATTATGAGTGGAATCCTTCTAAGCTTCTGGTGGTAGCCGTCAATCCTTGGCCTTCCTTGACTTGCAGCTGTATTAGTCCGCTCTGCCTTCATCTTCACATGGCATTTTCTTTGTGCATGTCCAATTTCTCCTTTTTATAAAGACACCTTTATATATTGGATTATGGCCCACCCTATCGGTGTCATCTTGGTTAAATCTGCAAAGAACTTATTTCCAAATAAGGTCACATTCTGAGGTACTGAGGGTTAGGACTTCAGCATATATTTTGAGGGGGGAGGGGACAAAATTCAGCCCATAACAGATGTCTCTAAAGGAATTGATTTATAGATCCTCAGTTTTTTGTTTTTTTTTTATTTCAGCATATTATGGGGGTACAGATGTTTAGGTTACGTACATTGCCCTTGCCCCCCCCCAAGTCCGAGTTTCAAATATGTCCATTGTTCGGGTGGTGCGCATTGCACTCTTTATGTATGCAAATACCCG